TTTTTTCAAAAGGTGTCCTTTTTTGAGTTCTGGAGGGTGTCTAAGCAAGTTCAGACATTCCATGTAGCCCCTCTGGCTTGGCCAGAATTCTGTTACTTCATTGCTTAATGGGAGTCTTGTAGCCATGCTGGAAATCCATATTTGGAGACCTTGGGCAGGAAAGTTGACCTTAAGGAGTGAAGTCAGAAATGGAGCTCAGGTGTCTGTTGGGCAGGAGGACCAGCCAGTGAGGACATGTGGGCTTGGGCAGTAGTCTTCAAGCCTGTCTCCTTAGCTCCTTGTCTATGGGAGGTGATAAGATGGATGCTAGAGCTCATGAAGTACAGGAGCCAATGGCCTGGTTGGTGGCCAGCCTTGCTTTACTGCAGTGCTTTGGAATCTTCAATAGCAGCTGTTTTCATACTACCCTCAGACCTCAAGAGTGGGTCTTCTGAGGACTCAGGCCTCTAGGGGACTGCTAACCCCCTTTCCAGCTTAGCAGTCTTCAGTTGTAGATGTCTTTCTCTGTATAATTTTACCTTTAGAAAGTTTCCTTTCTATAAAGAATGTTAAAAATCTCTCTCTATAGGGATGTGGAGCTGGAACAGGGTTGGGGAGGGGGTTCCCAACCCAAACAAACGCAAGCAGCACTCAGGACAGTAGCCCTCAGTGTGATGACTTCAGACCTGCACTGTCTGACAGAGCTGCTAGCCATGTGATGTCAGGCCCTGAAGTAAGACTAATGCAGACTGTAACCATAAACCATCCTTTAAAGACTCAGTGTCAAAGAAGTGTTTAGCTGCTTACTAATTTTTATATATGCATTGGAATATTTTGGGCATATTGGGTTAAATATTAAAATTGACCCATACTTTGCTTTTTAAATGTAACTACTAGAAAGTAGCGCATTATCCATGTGGTCAGTGTGGCTCACACGTAGCCTCTGTCTGACTATGCTGCACTACACCATCAGGGGGCGTGCCACCATTTCCCCTCCCAGGTCTCACATAGCTAGCCTACCTAGCTTCCTCCCTGCCCCCAAGGTCTGGCCATGGGTTGGCCTGGTTCTGGTCTGTCTAGCTGAGGGCCCCTTTTAGGCATTAGTCTTCAAGCTATTGGAGCTTTGTTGTGCATTAATGAGACTGCCTTTGAGAGTAACAGCCAAGAGGGCTGCTCTGGGGCCCTGCTGTGTGCAGGTTATGTAATCTGTGTTGCTCACAAGAGCCACTAGGTGCTGCTCTATGCCCTCAAAGACTTCCTCAAGAACCAGGCTTCTTTTTGGTTTTTATTTGAGACAGGGTTTCTCTGTAGCTTTGGAGAGTCCTGGAGTCCTGGAACTTACGCTGTGGACCAGGCTGGCCTCGAACTCACAGATATCCACCTGCCTCTGCCTCTCAAGGGCTGGGATTAAAGGCGTGAGCCATTACTGCCAGGCTAAGAAGCAGCGTTCTAAAGCTCTTGGTTGGAACTCTTTGGCCTTCTTTCCTTGGACCAGCATGGGAAGTAGCATGTGTACAACAGATCTCTACTGAGGAATTGTGTGGGCATTCCACCTTGCAAGGCAGCTAGACAGGCTTTGGGGAAAGTAGGCTGGCTGATAGTGAAAACTAGACATCTTCCCTGAGTATCTTAATACTAGGAAGAAAACATTCCTGCACGTTTAGCTGGCTCTGCCTTCTGGGCTCTGGATTCTACTATGTTGAGCAGATTGTTGCCCTTTCTTCTTTGCTTCCCGGTTAGAACAGTGAGGGAGCTGGGTGTGGGGAGGCAGAGGTGGGCTTGAGTGGGCAGGGGAACTGTGTGGTGCCCTATGTGATGGCTGTTCATGGTTGATTATATCTGGGCTTAACGAAAATCCAAAAATGGGCACACCCGTGAGGGGGTTTTTTTTTTTTTTTTTTTTTTTTTTTTTTTTTTTTTAAGTAGGAAGATCCATCTCTAATCTGGATCTTGAGGTGAGAAGAAACATGCCTTTAATCTGGGTCTCAGGCAGAAAGACACACCTTTTATCTGGGCCACATCTGCTGGAAGCCTATATAAGGGCATGGAGAAGGAAGCTTTTGCTTTTGTCTGCTTGCTCTGTCCTTGCTAGCAAGTCCATTCCTTCACTGGCATTAGAGCCTACTTCAGGATTCCTGTATTGCTGAAGACCAACTGAGACCTCCAGCCTCGTGGACTGATCAACTTCTGGATTCTTGGGCTTTCTGTCCAATCACCACCATTGTTGGGAGTTCTGTTAACTCTACAGAACCCTGACTTAAGTATGTCAGGCATGACCTAGGTGGGTAGGGTTCCTGACAACCTCTTCCTTCAGCATGTAGGTTGTTAGAATCCCATCCTGTTTTGCTACAAACAAGACTTTGTTCCTGGCAATGTGAGGAGTCTGGAGTAGTCATGGAGAGGGTTTTGAAGGTGATGGGGAAGGGCTGGCTGGACAGAAGACAAGAGAGAACATGTGTACAGCCATGTTGGGAGAGACCCATGAACTAGGATGAATTATAAAAGAGCTGCAATTCAGTTGCAGGCAACAGCAGGCCCAGGTGTTTCTAATGGGTGGATTACAGCCTTCAGAGATACATGTATAATTAGGGAAGTAGAACACATTTAACTTTTGCTCAATCCTAGAATTTGAAGGAACATAAACATGAAGCCAGCTGAGAAGCTGGGTCTCTCCACCAGGGACTGGAGCAACAGGCTGGCTTTCAATGTTACCTTTCTAGGGAGAGGCATTGGGCCAGTGGGGCTGAAAGACCCTGGGCAGGGTGACATAGAGACCACCGTGATGAAAAGGAAGAGCCATGGCAGCTCTTTTTTAGGGTTTTTTGCTTGTTTTGTTTTTAAAGACAGGGTTTCTCTGTGTAGCTTTGGAGGGCTATCCTGGAACTTGCTACTCTGGAGACCAGATTGCCTCAAACTCAGAGATCTGCCTGCCTCTGCCTCTCAAGTGTGGGGATTAAAGGCCTGCGCCACCACTTACTGACAGGGCAACTCAGGTTGCTGACACTCGGAGCCATGAGGCTTGATCTCAGTGTCAGTGTTGAGCTGGGTCTTGCAGAGTTGATTCTGGAGCTGGTGGGGCTCATGCCTCTGTTCCAGCAATGAACACTGAAACAGGAAGATTGCAAGTTGCTGACTGGCTTGTGCTACAAGGGAAGGTTTTAAGTCGATTCGATGCATGAAGGGGTTAAGGAAGCTCCTGCTAGTGTGATTAGAAAGCCAGTGTGGCACCTGTCCTCAATCCCACAAGTACTTATTTCCACCCCCTTCCTGGTGTGACTTGAAGCCTGGAAGCTCTCTCTTCAAGGTATGTTCTACCACCGGATCTGGACCAGACTTCAAAATTGTGAGCTAATCTTCATTACTTTCTAGATTATCTAGTGTCGGGTGCTGTGTTCTAGCAATAGGAAATTGGCTTCGACTCCGTTTTATGAGGAACGTTGTGAGGAAGGGCACACAGCTAAGCTAGCCTTGCTGGGTGTTTGATGCGGTCCTGGAAAACGGTTTTTGGCACAGCACAGTGCATTTTCTATTCTGGTCACCAAGGTCCCTGAACCTTTTTGCTCCTGTTGGCAGAGAACTCTCTGGGTACATAAAGAAACTGGCACTTTCTAACCTGGAAGTACTGCACCTCATGACTCAACATGATGCCTGTTTTGGGGTAGTTGGCTCAGCCTTCGCAGGTGTTGTCAGGAATTCTCTAGGTCCGGAGATGGGAGTGTTTGAGTTAAGGGACGGTTTGCTGCTTGTTTGCCAGTTTGGTTTTTCAGAATCAGTCCAAAATGAATGACTAGTAAACCACCGCCTTTGTGAAGTATGGAGGAGTGCTTGAGAGCTATGCGTCGATGGTCAGAACCAGAATATTAGGCAATTTTACTCTCAAGTTTCAAAACGGGCAAATCAGAGGCTGGCCTGAAGATGCAGCTGCTTCGATTTTGACACAACTGGTGATAGGATCTGTAGGCCGTCCTCGCCCCTCTAGCCTGGGGTTTCTGAATCTTAGGGGGCCATGAGCTTTTATGCCGACGCGGGCCACATCTCTCCCCTGCCCGCCGCCCGCCCGGG